GAACGTCGGGAATTAAAAAAGTTGAAATTAAAAGAGCGTAAAAATCCGTAAAATTAACTTTATTCCAAAAGGTTACTATAAAATATTTTTTTGTATTTTGACCGCTTAAAATTACAAAGAGAGGATACCCGTCTCCGCAGACACTCCTTTTTCTTTCGCTGTCTATTTTCCAAACAAAGCCACCGTTTAATTTGACAATTGAAATTGTAATTTTCCGCGTAGAAAACTAAAGATTTCATCTCATTATTCTCCTCTGATACGTTCGCTTGAAGCATGAAGATTGTTTTCTTTGATATTCCTAGCTGGAACTAATTTCATATTATTTGCAATGCAATTACTTAGAAGTCTTGTGGTTTTGAGAAATTTGAAAGTAACGTAATACACATACGTTATAATTTATTTTGAAATTTATTACGTGGCACCCTTCTGAAGGATCGATACATTATTTGTTATTCACTGGTTTGTAGCGTCAGCATGTAAATATAATAATATAACATTTACAGTCTGCAAAGCATTTCAAAAAACCCATACGTGGTAGAGTCACGCTGCAGTTAAATTATAGTAGGGTCGACTCAACAACGATCTCACAGAATACCAGCGCGGAATGCTGTGTTTCATATGGTGAGTGTAGAGAACCGGAGATCCTTTTTACTGGAAATGAGGCATTCAATTACACTTAGTCCTCAGGGGTGACAATGCACCTGCATTTTGATTGTTAATCGAAGATAGATGTAGATGTCTAGGGACAACAGCATCCACATACCATCAAGTGGACTGTGTGCTCTTTTGTCGCTACTATGTATTCTATAAAAAACATATCTATAGCATTCTATCTTGAAATATGGTTGCAGATTTCCATGGACTACAGTATCCACTTACCATCAGGTGGGATATTCGCACTTTCGTATTTTATATTTTACTTTTTTTGATGTAGTAAAAGACAATTAAGGGTTATGTAAAACAAATCTCTCGGCTTGTAATAAATAGATGATATAAAATACCAGGCCCGTGGCTAAAGAAATTTCTTTTTAATGATTTCTTATTTACGCGAACACTACACATTGAATAAAACTATGTTTACACGGATTTTATCGCGTTTAATCTACTTATTTTACTTATATAAGTTATTAAGTAAGTTAAGTAATTTATATCACCGTGAGTACCGTGGAAAAATCTTTGTTTCGGAGAGCACAAGGGATCTGTGACAGAAAACATCTGGTCATGTTACTTCAGCACGTCGAGCAAGTATTGCAAGACAACAAGCTCCCGGGATCCAACTCAACGGGCCCCGCGCCCTCGTCACAGTGACCGAGTGAGCCGGCCACAGTCGAGCGTGTGCCTGCTGTACAAGTCTAGGTCAGAGGAGTCACAGACAAGGTTGGCTACAAGATGTAGTGAAGCGAGCTTCCATTAAAACATACTTCAAGTCGCCGAAGGAGATCAGTAAATTTTTACCATCCGTCAAGTGTAATAGCCCTCTTCAAGATGCAGGAGTGTACAAGCTTGATTGCGATTGTGGTCTCTATTACATAAGACAAACAAAAAGATCTATTAAAACCCGCGTGAAAGAACAAATAGCTGACGAGAGGCACCAACGCTCTGGGAAGTCTGCAGTCTGTGAACATGTTCAAGATCGTCCCCGCCATTACATCAGATTTGATAGAACACAAATCTCGCAAAAGAACACCGATTCCTTACCAAGCATGATACGCGAGGCTATTGAAATTAAAAAGCATCCAAATTTCAATTCCATAATTAACAAAATTAAATCCAAACTTAAGCATACCACTGCAAGACTTCAAGATACCGTAAGCTCATTCTGCGTAGATTGGACCAAAAATTAATATTCAAAAACTGAAGCCCGGCTAGGCTAAGTATGACATCGGGACGTCAAACATCTCACAACAATCCCCCCCCCCCCTCCCTCGTGACTTTCTGAAACGTCTGAATTAAAATAAGGAAATTGAACGCGATAAAATTCGTAAACATGCTTTTATTTCCTTTCTTTTTAACAAATAAATGACTCAAATGATGCGTGCTGCATTTTTATAGCTTATGCCAAGCAGGATGATTACGGACAATCTTTTCTTATTAGAATCAAATTATTTCGGTTATCGTTAATTAATTTGTAACTACTAGAAACACAACTTATTCGAATATTTTTTAAATTAACACTTATGTAATTAACCAGAAGATTTCGCAAATATTTTTTAATTTAGTTTAAACTGGATTTTTGCTGGTTCTTTCCAGGATATAGGTTTTTCAGAATCGGTGCAAAGAAAAATAAATTACTTTTATCAAGTTGTGTTTATAATCTATGTTGTATTAAACATTATTATAATCTACTCTATTCAACTGTCGCTCCATCCCGCTCGCACTCTAATCCAAATTCCCGAAACCTTTCAGATCGAGTTACAATACCGTTTTCAGTGCCTTGACGACTGCAATGCAGTCGACGATATGAATGACAAGGTCGTGGAAACTGTCCATGCGGAGCTAAGTTCTGCAAGACCCGTCGCAGAAGAACACAAACACTCTCCGACCACACTCTTAATCTCCTGGCTGTTAGACGGGAAATGAAGCTGCAGTCTTCAACAGACAGCATACGATGGCTATCCGAGTACAGAACGAAAGCTATCCAACTGCAGAGAGGTGTAAGACAAGGTGATGTAATATCCCCGAAACTTCACCGCTGCATTGGAAGACATTTTCAAGCTACTGGACTGAAAAGGATACGGTATTAACGTCAATGGCGAGTACATCACTCACCTTCGATTTGCCGACGATATAGTCCTTATGGCAGAATCGCTGGAGGACTTAAGCACTATGCTCATTGACCTCAATAGTGCCTCCCAACAGATAGATCTTGAGATGTACATGGACAAACAAAGATCATGTATAATGTCATGTCACGCCTATGGCGGTAGTTGTTGGGAGCACTAAGCTCGAAGTTGTTGACGAGTATGTTTACCTGCGACAAATACTCCGATTAGGTAAGTCCAACTTCGACCGAGAGGTCAATCGACGGATTCAACTCGGCTGGGCAGCGTTCGTAAAATTACGACACATCTTCTAGTCAGTGAAAACGAGACTGTACAACCAGTGCATGTTGCCAGCGATGACCTATGGATCTGAGACGTGGTCCTCAAAGAACCGACAACCGATGGAGAAAAAAGTGTAGAGCGTCCCCCCACTAGATAGAGTGACGACCTGGTAAGACATGCAGGAAGTTGATGGATGCAGGTGGCTCAAGACCGTGCTTTGTGGCATTCCTTGGTGGAGGCCTATGTTCAGCAGTGGACTTATGAAGGGCTGTAATGGTGATGATGATGATGATGATTCAACTACCAGAAAGCAGGCAAATAGACAAATTCTGTATCGTGTCTATGTAGCAGTTAGATAAATAGTTTTTATAACGTTTGATATGTCTGCATTGGTTGTTAGCTTAAGCAAACAGTTCGATTTCACGAAAGTGTAAATATTTGTATAAAATGCTATAAATTGATATACCTATATGGATATTTATAAATATATCTGTATGGTACACACTTTATGTCAGCAGTGCCTTGTGGTGTGAGGCATAAGAGGTTGCTTCATTCCACATCATTCGGTGCAAGTTATGATGTCATCATCGGACAGGCATCTGACAAATGACGAAGTTCTTAATTTGCTACACTTGAAATTGTCTTATTACTATTTAATTAAGACGTTATGAGGTCATAGCGTCTTCATTAGATCTACAGTATGTGAGGAGTATGTAACTCGCATTTGTGTGCGTAGTAGACGTAAGCTACGCAGCGTTTCAATGCAGCGAACATGCTTCTAATTAAAAACCCGCATGACAGTTTACCGTTCTCACACATATTGTAACTGATATTTATCTTAACTTCTAACAATGTATCCACATAACGAGTGTACTAATTATAACTTTTGTAACAAAACATCCCGCATGAGTTGAGACTCATGAGGCTGGCATATTTTTAAAGATTATATCCAATAAAAAAAAGAAAAGAAAAAAATAATTGTTTCGAATTTAACCTAACTTGATATAAATTGATTTTTATCGCGTTTTTATTAACTTGCTTTCGTGTGTCTGTCCGGGTCGAATTTAGTAAATGATTTTATATTAATTTCCCAATGAGCTATATAATTGAAATACTTTTGAACATGGCTCAAAGTCTAATAAAAATGTAAGAATATGAAAAAATTAAAACAAAAAGAAGAAGCTTTATACTTTTTATCCGTTTTAAAAAACTTGGTATATAAAAAATACCGATTGACTTGTTTAGTTTTCTAAAAGAACCAAAAAAGTAACATAAAAATATTTATTTCATAAATTTACTTGATGTTGAACGAAATGTTATCAGCATAAACCGCTAATACTATAAGTTGTATAATATTTGAGTAGACGTGATAAACATACTTAGTACCTGAGTCTCTCGTTATCTCCTTCTTGTTGATTGTTTTGTGGGCAATACCTACATACGTAAATGAATAGCGGCGTGGTTCCAATACAACTCTAGCGGAAGTCACTAAGGCTAATTAAAAAAACTGTGTGTGTTTCACATGACGCCATGCTACACGCTCTGCCAAACACTCTCTACTACCTTAACCTGTAAGCTAAATTACAGGCTGTAAGCATTCTATCTTAGTGCTCAATGTGACAACGCATCTGTAGCCTAGAACAAAGGATGTTTGAAGTTGGCTGCAGATGTCCACGGGCTGCATTAACACCAGGTGGACTGTAAGTTCGTTTGTTCGTTTGTAAACACGCCGCAATGCCATACATTTCGCTAAATGCCCTTCACTAAGACCTTAGGCTTAGGCGAACAAGAGTCCGACCATCACTTGTCAGCCTTTTTCAATTTAAGTATTTTCCGAAAGCAATCCAAATAATGTCGTAGACACTTCACAATAATAGAACATGTAGGAATACACGAAGTGAGTCATACAATAACAACTTTTCATAACTCTTATGAATTATTTTTATCTGTACTTACACGATAGCTGAGTGATGTCTCTGGTGAAGCGGGGTGGAGAGCGTGGCGGGTGGCAGAGCGGATAAAGACGCCGGTTGTGGGGATCCACACCAACGCGACTCTCGAACATCGGAGGAACCTGTAGCAGAGAATTAATAATAGTGCTACGTACAGAAGTTGCACTCCTTTGATGTTGACTGCTTGCCGACGTTTTAATAGCCTTGATTAAACATTTGGGTATAGTTTTTAATTTAGTTTTTTCTAGCCTTGGCTACTAAGGAATTTAAGATTAAAAAACATAGAACGCATTTCTATAACTCACTGATAAGTGTCGTATACAGAAAACTTATTTATCAAGCTAATATTATAGCTGCAGCACGAATGGGTCGGCTCGACCGAAGCTCGCTCTCACAAAACACAGCTTAATGCTGCTGTGTATCATACGGTGAGTAAAGAGAACCGGTAACGAGGCAGATCTTAGTCCTCAGAGATGATAACGTATTTTGATTCTTAATCGAGCATACTCGTAGCTGTAGGTGTATATGTGCCACAGCATCCACTTACCATGAGATAAGCTATGTTCTAGTTTCTCATTCTCAATTGTATAAAATAAACCTAAAATCAGTGAGTAAGGATAATCATCATGAATAAGAATAGAATCTTAGTTTTTTACCTAAAACATAGTAATAACTGTGAATTTTATTGACTATAAAATATAGTGTTAAAGACTTCAAGTATTAGGTGATCGATACAATGATAATTTCACATTATGCTTGCACTTCATTCAGAGAAAAAATATTGAGTGTCATTACCCGCGTACTTAGCCGCAACTACTTTTTAAAGTCCTTGAAAAAAACATTTTCTCTAATCTACTACAGGGGCGTTGCAACCTCAAAGGACTATGAATGTTTAACAGTAATTATCTTACCATGCTTACCATGCCATAAAATATGCCATACCATACCATATAATATGCTTACCATGCGTTTTAAGCAGATAAGAGGGATACCCATCCTAGCTACGTTTCAGTAATGTTGTTTCCAAACTAGGACTTAGTACTATTTTTATTAATAAGAAAGACTTTGAAAGTTAATGACTTCTTATTTATTAACCTCCGACGCAAAAAAGGGATGTTATGTTTGACCGATATGTGTGTCTGTCTATCTGTGTGTCTGTCTGTGGCACCGTAGCTCCTAAAACTATTTATATATTTTTTTTTTTAAAGCAGGTTTTCTAGCGGTGGTTCCTAGATATGTTTTATCAAAATCGGTTCAGCCGTATAAAGGTCATCAGCTGTATTTTTTCGAGGATTTTTTAAATTTTGAATTTGAGTTATTTATTTTAAAACATTTGACGGTCTACATTGGCCACTTACTTCCATATAAAGTCATAAGAGATGGCGGTCTACTCGCGAGCACCGGGGTCGAGCCATACCGCTCCCCGCCCGCAGAAAGCCGTCCGCCCAGTGGTTTGAACGCTATCGGCCTTATCACAGTCTTGCCCTGGAAAGATGAAAATTTGTTTTTAATTAATATAAGATTTTATTCCAACGGTTACGAAATACGCAGACACTTGCATCTATCCTCGATAAAGAATAAAAATACGGATGCGTAGCCATTTCAGAGGCTGGAAGGCCTCGATAGTATAGATTATTCGGATCTTTTTACGCATTAATAATGTCCTCATGAACGAATTTCGGTCACGGTGGCCAGACTAGCCATCGGCGCAGGACAGGATTATAGTGCCCAAGTGTATGCGCAAGCACATGTGTACTCTCTATTCCTCACGCTCATAATCCGATAGGACGGTAAACCGACACAACCGGAGAGAAATCAGGCGCAGGACCAACGGCTTTACGTGCTTTCCTAGGCACGGTGGTGAAACATCGCCAACTTTCTGACTCCGGGCAGCTATTGAGAATTTATTGATGGGAAAGCTCAATAACTGATTTTTTCGGCCGACCCAGGATTCGAACCCGCGACCTCATGATCAGCAGTCGCACTACTACAACCACTAGATCAACGAGGCAATCAACTCTTACTTGTTACTTATTATACGAAATACAGCGGTATTATGGTGGTGTTTGAAACTGTTTTTTTTCTTAAACTACAATTTCAACTGGTGCAAAGTAGTGATGAAGTCGTAAATGGTAATGTATTCTTCAAGAACTAGATTATTTTCTGTTCGAGCCGACCCACTTACGCTGCTGCCATTATGTACTTGCAGCGTGGCATGTAGGAAGTCGATGGAAGGTGGTTGAGGTTTCGTGCTTTGTGACATTCCTTGGTGTTCGTTCAACAGTATAATTGTGAAGAACTGAAACGTTTTACGTGGTAGAGGCATGCTGCAGCTATATTAGTAGTATAGTTGTAGCACGAGTGGGTCGGCTCGACCGGGGAAGGACCTCACAGAAAACTAGCGTAAAATAGCAGCTTAACGCTGCTGTATTTCGTATGGTAAGTGTAGAGAACCGGAGACCCTTTTTACTGGCAAAGAGGTATTCCATCTTAGTCCTCACGGTGACAACGCATCTGCATCTTGAGTCTTTATTGAGGATAGATGTAGATGTCTATGGGTCACAGATAGATGTAGATGTCTATGGGTCACACATTTACCATCAGGTGGACTGTGTGCTCGTTTGTCACCCTATCCTATAAAAAAAATGGACTTAAATTTCAAGCCTAAGCCAGTCATTTGGAAATATTTTAATAAATTATTGTACGTTGCATGTAGTAAATATTATTAAGATAATAATAAAGTTTAATTTTACTTTTTGATGCTCCTGATAATCAGTTTCATTCAAATTAATTAAAGTAGGTACGTAAACTTTTAGTAATTGAGTAATCCGTTTTCGAATTTCTTTTTTTAAATTTATATAACATATCTAATTTTAACTAAATCACCAACAAAATCACATTACTCAACCGAATTTGATCTATAAAACATAATACACATTAAATTTAAGTTAATTTATGTGCATATTGCTGTCACAGCGATCTGCATGGTTTATTTGATGACCAGTTACGTGATTCTTACGGATTGATCTTTAAATCGTATTCGCTTCAGTGAATTTAAGCTAACAGTCTCATTGTGATTATCTTGTCCGGAGCGTCACGGATTTGGCATTTCGTACGCAGAAGACGCAAAATGTCACTATACAAAGGTCAATATAGTTTTACGACGTGACGCGGTGCATCCTAAACCGACCGCAGACGGCTGTTACCGCTAATTAGAGCTGCCAGCTGTCAAACCTCTCCGGTATCCGGTAAGGAGCTTTTGTTTCTTGACATTTTTGTGATATATTTATTTAAATAGTTGAGACGTGACATCTATATATATATAAAAATCAATTGTTGTTCGTTAGTCTCGCTAAACTATAAAACGGCTGGGTGGATTTTGATGAACATTTATGTGCGTATTTCGGTGGGTCCCTGGATGGTTTAGATTCACAAATGGGCTGTTGGTGGCGCTGCTGTCGAGATCAGAATTCACCCAAGCGAAGACGGTAACGCATGGATCGCATTTATGGATGGATAGTATTTATGTGCTGCCAAGATTACTAGGGTACGAAAATGTGATTGTGTAGAATGTGGACATAAGTAATATAGCTACGTCTCCGATTCCACTGTGTGACTGTCATGTTTACGCTCGCTTTCGTGTACTTAAAAAGTGAACGTGTTTAACCATCTGGACTATTGTTGCCTCTGTCTACATCCTATCCTAGCCTACCTCATCGAGATCTTAATCGCATTTGCGTAACATCGTTCGTGGGTAGGCAAGGGCGAGTGAGTATGAGTACATCAGTCTGATATGATACCACCTGGCGGATGTACTAGATTTTATATTATATGCTAAGTAGACAGGTTCTGATATTAATTTAAAATAATTATTATGAAATTGATTCTTATTTTTTAAATTATATCTTAGCTATAGTTAGACGAAATTATTAAATTATTCAAAACAAATGGCTATTTACTGTAATGAATATATAAAATAAATGTTTATTGTAAATTTATACCGAAAGGACTTTTGTATGCACGTGGTGCTACGAATAATCAATTTGTCAATGCCGGCTCTACACGGTTCGTCCAACTCTACAATTTCTATAACACTCGAAGTGTTAGTTTGCATGCGTTGGAGATAAGTTGTAATACAAACATAATATAATTCCATTCAATTATCTATAATATAAAAATGAATCGCTGAATGTGTTGCTAAGCGCAAATCTCGAGAGCAACTAAACCGATTTCGCTAATTCTTTTTTTATAATATTCCTGGAAGTACAACGATGGTTCTTATGGAGAGAAAATTTTAAAAAATTGCCTGAAAATGTCTAAAAAAACACTTTTCTATATTCCCATACAAAAGATTCGTAATAATACTTAAAAATAAATTTTAATTTTAATACCCTACGATAAAGTTTAAGTGTTAGTGGAGGGGTTCCGGGAAGGCAAAACAATTGAGTAACGTTAGTATCGTATAAGTATTAATGTCAATATTTTTCAATATTTATACGACATTACTCAAAAACAAAATTAGGGTTCCGCGCAAAAAAATTGATATCCATGAAATCGTAGTAAATTCCACGCGGGCGAAGTCGCGGGGCACAGCTAGTTTTAATATAAAATGGAATTATAACTTTTTCTAAAAAAGAACCCAGAGTCTCTTGCTAGTTCTTCTTTCTAGAGGTCTCATTTTTTCAAACTAGTGATAGAAACAGACCGACTCATCGACCACGTCCAAATGGCTACAGATTCCTTGCTACAACAGGTCCCATCCGCAGAGATCGTGATCCTTGGCGATTTTAACGCCCACCATGCCGAATGGCTCAGTTCACGTTTAACCGATCATGCGGGGAGATCTGTTTATGACTTTGCCTTGGCATATGGTCTGACACAACTGGTTACTTCGCCTACGCGGATTCCAGATGTGGAGGATCATACACCTTCCCTGTTGGACCTTCTGCTGACCTCTCATCCGGACGGATATCAGGTTTCCGTCGATGCCCCTCTCGGCTCTTCGGACCATTGTCTGATCCGGAGTATGGTGCCACTCACGCTCCCTTCGCGGTTGCGTTCTGCAGGTTGCCGCCGTGTTTGGCATTACAGGTCGGCGGATTGGGACGGAATGCGGTCTTTCTTTGCATCCTACCCATGGGGGCGGGTTTGCTTCTCGCCGGATGATCCCAGTGCTGTTGCTGACTCTGTCACTGATGTGGTGCTACAGGGAATGGAACTATTTATTCCATCATCTGTGGTACCCATCGGAGGCAGATCTCAGCCTTGGTTTGGTCGCTCCTGTAAGACTGCATTGCGCAATAAGCAGGAGTGTTATCAAGCCTGGGCTGCAGCTTCGGTGACTCGGGATGTAAACACCAGCACACTTAAAAAGAAGTATAACTTCGCCTCCAGGTCCTTCAAAAGAGTTATTGCCAAGGCAAAGTCAGAGCACATAGGCAGAATTGGCGAGAAACTAGTTCGCCTTCCTTCGGGAACCCGTGCATTCTGGTCTCTCGCCAAGGCTGTCCAAGGGAATTTCTGTAAGCCATCACTACCATCTCTGCACAGGGAGGACGACTCACTGGCCCAAGACGCAAAAGACAAAGCCGACCTTTTAGGCTCCCTTTTTGCGTCCAACTCGACTCTTGATGACGGGGGGAAAATACCGCCGACCATCCCGCGGTGTGAGTGCTCCATGCCGGATGTGCTATTCTCACAGCGCTCAGTTCGCAAAGCACTTCTCTCCCTGGACATCCAGAAGTCGAGTGGGCCTGACGGAATCCCCCCAATTGTGCTGAGGACGTGTGCTCCGGAGTTGGCACCGGTCCTAACGCGTCTTTTCCGGTACTCCTACTCCCAAGGCGTAGTCCCGAATTCATGGAAGACAGCTTTTGTCCACCCGATCCCTAAAAAAGGCGACCGCTCAGACCCGTCCAACTATAGGCCTATCGCGATCACCTCCTTGTTCTCCAAAATAATGGAATCCATTATTAACTGCCAGCTCATCCGGTACCTTGAGGATTACCAGCTGATTAGTGACCGCCAATACGGTTTTCGTCGGTGTCGATCAGCTGGTGATCTTCTGGTCTACCTGACCCATAGATGGGCGGAGGCAGTAGAGTCCAAGGGGGAGGCGTTGGCCGTTAGTCTGGACATTGCGAAGGCCTTTGATCGGGTTTGGCACAAAGCGCTTCTTTCAAAGCTGCCTTCCTATGGGCTTCCCGAGAAATTGTGCAATTGGATCACCAGCTTTCTTGCAGATCGGAGCATCAAGGTCGTTGTAGACGGTGCATGTTCTGACTACAAGCCTATTAACGCTGGTCTTCCACAAGGCTGTGTGCTATCACCAACGCTGTTTCTTCTGCATATCAATGATATGTTGCTAACTGGTAACATTCATTGCTATGCGGATGACAGCACTGGTGATGCTCTATACACCGGCCGGGCCAATATTTCTCGGGAAAACGTCGCCGAGTACCGGAACAAACTTGTGTCTGAAGTCG